ACAAGTCTGTATTCTCTGTCTGTGAGTCTATTTCTGTCCTGATTTATGCTTGTTTTGTTTGTTTGTTTTTGTTTTTGTTTTTTTAGATTCCACATATGAGCGATCTCATATGGTATTTTTCTTTCTCTTTCTGGCTTACTTCACTTAGAATGACATTCTCTAGGAGCATCCATGTTGCTGCAAATGGCATTATGCTGTCGGTTTTTATGGCTGAGTAGTATTCCATGGTATAAATATACCGCATCTTCTTTATCCAGTCACCTGTTGATGGACATTTAGGCTGTTTCCATGTTTTGGCTATTGTAAATAGTGCTGCTATGAACATTGGGGTGCAGGTGTCATCCTGAAGTAGATTTCCAGCCACTGTGGAAAACAGTGTGGAGATTCCTCAAAAGACTAGGAATAGACTTACCATATGACCCAGGAATCCCACTCCTGGGCTTGTATCCAGAAGGAACACCTCTTATCTCAGGGTGTGAGATCGCATCAGAAAGGACAGGTCTGTTGGGTGTTGGAACACACGGCAGGGCAGAGTAGGGTGGAAGGGCACAGTAAACACTCTGCTCATGGATTATTTCAGCAAGGCGTCAGGTGGCCTGCCATCTAACAAGAATGCTGAGAAAGGATTCTTCACTGGTATGGGGAGAAGAGGCGGCGGGGGGAGCAGTTATGCTGCATGGCCTTCAGTGTCCTCTCAAATCTAAATTTCTGTGAGTCTCCAAGTTTCCACATGCACCCACTGCCAGAAAAGTAAAACTAAAGGAGTCTGCCCCATGCATGAGTGGAAGAAAATAAGGTATGCTCAACAACAACAACAAAAAAATGGTTAAGAATAAAGGATTTTCTTCGGTTAGGAGGGGAAGACCATGAAGATCTTCAGGTCCATATAGGACAGGAGGTTAGGAAGTTCCCAGATCTTCCAAGGTCAGCCTGCAAACTCTCCTCTGATCTATTTATTTTCATGTAAGCTTTGTAGATTAGAAAGAGTCTTCCCAGGCACCGTGGCACCTGAGCTGTGTAACCACAATGGCGGTTTACGGGAGGCAGAACAAGCTTTATTGAGCCAATTTCAGAGACGAAGAAACAGGCTTAGAGCTAGGAAGTGACTGGGGCAAAATCACACACGAACACGTGGTGAGTGGGAACACAGTTCGATCCTACAATTTGAGCACGTCTCAAAAATCCGGTTCTGGTCAAGTCACGTGTTTTCCAACCTCTGCCCGGCTCTGAGCCCAGTGCATACAGCAGGCCCTGCATAAAGTGTGCACTGGGCGGGGTCGTCCTCCCGGTTTCCTGACCCTAAGGCCACCGTCTCCTGCCATCTTCCCCTCTGGCCTATTTGTTTTCATTTCTATTCTCTCAAGTGTACTCATGGCCATAAAATGCGCTATAGATTTGATTTCTACATTGTCATGGGATTACATCAAAGGCAACACATTTTTAAAGAGGAATGAATTGCTTTGAAAGGAGAAAAATTAAAAGTGAAAAGACTGTGGTCATGTCACTAAGAAGATGATACAAATAAGCTACTTTGAAGTAAAATAATCTGGTAACTATAATGTGTTTTCACCGAAGCACCATCTTTCAAAATGTAGGTGATGGCTAAAGCCACAAAGTTTTCTGAGTCAGAGAGATTCAGTAGGTTTTGTGGGGGGTTTTTTGCTTTTTGGTTTTTTGGGGTTTTTTTGCTTATTTTTGTGGGTTTTGTTACTGCTGTTCCATCGACTTTACGTTGCTAAATCCCCAGCACCCAGTATTTAGGTCCAGCACAGGACAGGAAACCTCATTTGAAAAAAAGCACATCTCAAACCAACCAAAAAGATAAATTAGTTTTCCTTCTGAAACTCTGTTTTCTTTAGGACCAACTCCAACCACATTTATAGTCATTTAAGGAAAGGGCCTTTCATATAAAATAACAGATGGCTGCATCTAAGAACTGTTAAAATCTCAGGGTTTAACCATATATGCTGTTCAAAGCCTGTGGGCAGAGGTCACCTCCCAGCAAATTCCTGAAACACAGGCCAAGTTTATCTTAATACTGTCAGGCTCCAGAGGCTGCCTTGTCTAGGAAAACTTAGTTGTTTTTCCTTGAAAATTATATTATCTAATTCTTTACGAACGATATTTGATTTTTTCCTATAAAAGGGATGTATACAGTAAGATTTATAAGTTAGGCCTAGAAACAGAAAATGGGGCCATGTAATTTTTGTGGACACCAATGAGCTAGGTCACAAATTTAGCCAGGGCTGATACGGCTGCTGTGAGCATCAAATTTGCATCTGTGATTTTTGCTATTCAGAGCAAAAGGTACAATATGATAAATTAAAAATCTCCCCTTGTCAGCACGGAGGAAGCTTACCTGTTCCTCAAGAATGGCAGCATCAGGGATGGGAAGGGACAGACTGGGAGTTCGAAATTTGTAGATACTGACAGACATATGCAGAATAGATAAACAAGATTATACTGTATAGCACAGGGAAATATATACAAGCTCTTGTGGTAGTTCACAGCAAAAAAAATGCGACAATGAATATATGTATGTTCATGTATAACTGAAAAATTGTGCTCTATACTGGAATTTGACCCAACATTGTAAACTGACTATGACTCAATTAAAAAAAAAAGAATGGCAGCATCTCCTGGCTCCTTATTTTAAAACAACTGCCTATATATAGAAGGCCTTTGGCTGACATAATGGTCAGTGTTCTCTTATGCCTGACAAAAGCCCTAAGCTGTCAAAACTTCAAAAAGCAGGGAAGCTGAACAGAAAGAGCACTGGTCATCCAGGTACAAACTGTGGACGGTGGGCAGTTAATTCCCCCTGAGAGATTTGCTATAGTCCTTGGGTTCATCATTTATGTAATGAATGGGCATAAACTTGGTGATGTTTACAGTGTCTTCCTAATTATGATCAAAACTACCATTCGTTGAGTCCTGCTGCACACCTGCGGCATTGCACGAAATACTGTAGACGTGGCATCAGGAGGATTCACAACAATCTGGGGAGGTAAGTCTTATTATGCCCATTTTAGAGATGAGGGAGGGAAGTTCAGAGAATTGAAGCTACTTGCTCGAAGTTTCACAAGATACATCAGATGCAGGCTCTGAGCCTGAGTGCCTCCGCCAAAGCCTGGGCTCTTTCCTCCTGCTCTCAACGGGCATGGTCCACGCAAACTCGTCCTCTCACCCACTCCGTGCTTTTCCCCCACAGGAGGCGTGATCGAAGCATACCCACCTGCAGAGAGTGTCACCAACCTGATGGTGGACATGCTGATAGAGCCCAACGGAGAAATCAGGGTGCTGTCAACGGGGGACCAGTTTCATGCCGAAGGCCCCTTCATCTCCTCTGGGACCACCATGCCTCAGACCTCAGTGGATCCCCAAGTTCTCAGTTCTTTGTGCCTCCAAATTGGAAATGCTTGTAAAATGAAAAATGTGGTTGGTTACTTTTCCATAGACCTGGTGACTTTTATTGATCCAAGCACCATGGAGCAGCAGGTAAGTCAACTTGATGCCATGTGAGATACTAAAATACGTAAAGACTCCACACCGTTCACACGCGTGCAACAGGGGGTTTCTGAGATTCACTGCTCTTCTGATGAGCTGACTGTAAATCCAGCATTTACTTGGTCCATGCAAATTCGAGGGAGACCAGGCTTCACATCAGTAAATACAGGACCAGTGTTATCCCCCTGAGCAAAGGGTTCGCTGCCCGATGGGTGTGGCAGCCAATATTATGGCACTGGCTTTTGATAAAAGAAAAGGCTTTATTCCGAGGTCAGCTGGCAAGGAGACAGGAGGCAGGCTCAAATCTGTGTCTCCCTGACTTGGGATTTGGTCAAGCTTCTATGAGCTGAGGGGGAGGGCTGGGATGTGGGGCAGGTTTCCATTGAAGAAGGGCTTTAGAACACGGCCATTTACGGCAAAGTGTGGTAAGGGGGCTTCAGCACCGGCTCTTAATGAACAGTGGGTCCTTCACTCTGAAAGGGCTGCAGTGTCCAGATTCTGGTCATGTCCTGCCAGTCTTTTGGTTCCAGGCGGGTAGAAACTTTGGTTCCAGGTGTTGTTTGACATCAAAATGTTCCCCTCTGTGCATGCTTTGGCTGTATGACTTGGCGGTTCTGTTCTGTTGTCTCTAAAAAACAACTCAGTGT